ACATTGTTTAAATTAACTGATTGCAACAATAACTCTTTTTTCAGTGACTCTTCTTACAGTGGAGCACCTCAAGGAGACCAATCCCATTCAGATAGAGTGGGGTGACAGTACTGCACTCAAGATCTCTGAGTAAGTACACAGTATATTGCACCGTGCCCGCAGGGCAGGCAATAAGAGCCATAACTCTACCACCCTTTACGGCTGAGTATTGCCAATGAGCCCTTGATGTTACGGATGAACTTGCCTGCTGTTCATAGAATTCACCCGATAAAGTAACGGGTTTACCACAGGTGAAAAGATCAAGGCTACAGGTAAATCAAAACTTAATGACAGCCATGGTATGTGGATTTGATTTGAGAAAATAGAGGCTATGAACAGGTTACAGAGAAGGAAAGGTAAGAGGGGTAGGGGCAGAGCAGGGACATGGGAGGGGACTTTACATTGCTTTGATTATTGTGGTAGCATAACATTTATGCTTTTTCCTCTTGAGTTCTTCTACATCTACAATCATGGGCAAAAGTCTTGTGACAAATTTGCACTTTTGGCACTTTTGCGCTCGTGCCAGACGTGAATACAACTATTGCTAGATATGTCTTTACTCTGTTTGAGAATGGTGCTGCTTTTAACAAATTGTGAAGTCCCAGAATGATGGCGTTTTTGCTTCTGTGAGGGATGACAACCAGACAACTTCAGTGGACAAAAAGAAGAAACAAACAAAATTGATCAAAATCTACCAATCATAACCCACAGATGTGACCCATTCTCTAGCATGACCAAGACTTGAAGTATAGTTTCCCGAAAGGTCTCTACTTTAGGCAAAAAGACACGACTGATCGATGGCTGTGGGGGAAAACACAACTACATGTATCAGTTGAGATTTACATGTAAAATGTTAGACTTTGCATGATCAAAAAAAAATACAGTTGTAATTAGTATTAAAATAACATGTACAGCACTTGTCATATTTTTGCATTTTTACAGAGACCTGACACTGAGCAACGACCATTCCGTAGCAAGATATCTCGCTCGTTGTTATCCAGCACTGGGTCTCTATGGTAAAAACGCACTTCAAGCATCTGAGGTGAGCAAAGTGTTTATCACCAGCCTAGCTTACTCTTAAAGCTGATGGTAATTAAGGTACACTGCTGGTACATCAGGGCAGACTTTGGATTGTTTGTAACAGTGGGTGAATTGAAAGAAAAAGTGGATACTTGATCAGCTGGGTCTAAGAAAAAAAAAATACGCAGAGTAGCCTGTACTTTCATTACTCTATATTGTTTGTCTGGTTTCCTTACACTTGCATGTACATATGGACCATGCTACTATCTGTCACCTGTCAGTTATCTGACACAGGCAAACCTTTCCTTACAGATACCTCTAATAATGAGGATTCCCCTATATTATGGGCAGCTGACTTGGTCTTAGCAGAGAAACTACATGTATGTAGAATTGATAGCATCTCTTTCGCTACATTATGGACCCCTCCATAATAGAGACACCTGGCTCTGGATCTTTTCTGTCTGGTTCCAGTGTACTTTTGTGAACTGAGAAACTCAAAATTTAATTTCGTGCTCTGAGTACTGAATACACTGTACATTGTACAACATTTTCACTGTAGCCTTGTTGTGGTCTCCAATAAGCTTTTTGTACAGTGAAAACATTAACCGTTGCATTGATTGTGGTGCAGACAGATGTACAGTGTACAAGTCAGGTAGATATATAGATCTGGTATTTTTTCAGGTTGATCATTGGCTGGAATTCACTGTGAACTCTTTGGAGAATGCTAGTGATGTCAACAAGGCACTTCAGTGCCTGAATAAGAGTCTTGCACCAGTTGCATTCCTTGTTGGACATTCTGTGACATTAGCTGACTTTGCTGTGTGGGGAGCATTGAAAGGTTTGTGATAATTAGGGAAGTCAGTCATTGTTTAGAACTGTGAAAAGTGCAAATGAATACTTCTCTGGTTACATATAAATGTAGCTGTGTCAGGGGTGACTAACTTTTACCTTTGGGTGACTGGAAGAACTTACTTTTTCCATATTATCTTAAGTGCTGGGTTAAGCCCCTCATAGTTTTTCTTAGACCACAGCCCTGTCAGCTTTGTTGACACAGCCTGTTGCCTTTAATATCGGTTATATACAGGTTTGTCATTTATAAGTCAACACTCTCAAAGCAAACACCAGTATAAGGCAGACCAGATTTGCTTGCTGGCCCCAGCTGAATCTCACATTATTTAATTACATGTACTGTGAACTGTTTGTGTAAATTGTCACCTCTCTTAGGTGAACAACTGGAGTTGGTCCTGCAGATATCCTCTTAAGAGAATGGGTTATGTATTTCAGTCTTCTTCAAGCTTTTTTCCTAGACCACTTTGGATCAACACTTACACCAAACAAGCTTCACAGCTCACAGTTTAAAACTGGGTTTTACCTACATCATGTAATTATATTAGAGAACTGTAAAAGTCTTGATAAGATGAAGTTAAGTATTATATGACTTGTATAATATACATGTACATTCCCTACAGTAATGTAACATGAGCACTCAAAGTGAAGACTGAAGGTGTTAGTGGCCGCGTAGTTACCATGCTTCACTCTGGATGGGGCAGTTTGAGTTTGAACTGGGGAGTGAGACTGCGATGTACTACACCTACATTAAGCATCCATCCAGGGGAAGTAGTCTAAATGCTCCTAGTTGCTTCATGCCTCCGAAACTGGAGATACAGGGTGTAGCCACCAGTCTGATGAACGACATGGCTTGTATATAGGTTTTCCCTTACATGTAAGTACACTGTACACACTAAAGGGGCCCAACAAACCAGAGCGCATCCCAGTTTCCACAGGATGAAGCGACTTGGAGTTGTATCTCTACCCCCCTGGATGATATGCTAGTCCATGGCAGGTTAAGTTACCATCCCCCCCCCCCCACCCCGAACCAGCTTTTGTCACATAGATAGCCTTTACTTAGCTAATATGTATATTCACCAGTACTCATTTCTTGCAGTGAGTGGTAACATTGAGAAGCTGATAAAGCCAGGGAGCTCTTATGAGCATGTCGCACGTTGGTTGACATTCTGCGGGGCACAATCGCCATTCTGCAATGTATCTGAGAAACTTCCAAGTCAAGCACAAAATGACAGTTCTCAACTTGGGGTGAGTGGTCTTCCATTGGTGTTATTAGTAGTTAATTATTATTAATTATTAATTATTCATGTGTCACTGATAATTATACTAAGAGTAATTTTTCACTGGCTGAGTGAAATGAAATAAGTGAAAAATGTTTTTCTCACACACCGCTGAGGCCTGGGTATAGGTGACTCATGTGACCGATGGGGTGTGTACATATAGTTGTTTTTGTTGCATCCACCATTGCCGACTTTCCCACCCACCCAACCAAAGATTGTCATACAATATCAGTATAATGTACAAGCCTTGCACGTTGTTTGTTATTTCCAGTCTTAAGCGTAATGCTATTTGTATTACAGCTTTGATTTTACAATAAAGATCATGTGGCGGCGGTCAGCTTGACATGGCTAATCAGTGGTGTATGAGAAATTAAAATAATATTGACGGTTATTCTTGGAGTCATTTTTCTGGTAGTGATTACAAAAGACTCCTGTGACAATGAGATGTCCAAATGTATCTCATTTATTGCCTCTCGACAGAATTGAAACACAAAATCCTGCGGATTGACTTTAAATAGTCTCATCTTGAACGGACACCTGTTTGCCTTAGATACTGAGATGCACAGCATGTAAGCACAGTGTAATACTGTATTAATTGACCTGTAAGCTGTACATGCTGATCTCAAAGTTCCACTTTCACGAAAGTTTGAATGAGTTACATATACGATTCACCCAAACTTAACCAGATACTTGACATCTAATAGTCATGTGACGTTTTCATTGATTCTCTATGCCTACTTTTCATTGTACGAGTAATGTTCCTTTTGCTGTTGTTTAGACAAAGATGAAGTCTGAGGGCAAGTACGTCAATCTGCCAGGAGCGTCCCAAGGAAATGTTGTTACACGATTTCCACCTGAAGCTAGCGGGTAATAATCAATTATTCCTCAAGCGTGTGTTGGACATCAGATGGTAGATAGTCAATGAGGTGCATAGTGCTGAGTTGGCTAGAATCATCTCATATCTGACAAGCATGAGTGGAATAATAATTATTATTTTTAATTATATATATACATATAGAAAACTAATCAAAAATAGAATAAAAAATAAAACACCCCCAAAACGTACGGCCATCATGGTGGTATACCATGATGGCCAATGAAAACTCTTGAATTGCATTATCCCATGATCCAGTTTTTTTAAATAATGGTTAATACATGACTGCTGTTTTTCAACCTCGATTCCAGGTCCTCTCTCCTTTGCTGACAGTGGAGGCCTAGGAGAGAGTGTCTTGGATCAGGGTTGGCTGTTTCTGCCATTTTTATAGCCACAGACCCCACAAGCTCTTGCCTGTAGCTTGTTTTATCTGGCAATGAACGCTTGCTGATAAAATAAATGTGTTTATACTTCAGGTATCTCCACATCGGTCATGCCAAGGCTGCTCTGTTGAATCAGTATTACAAGAACATGTACGACGGCAAAATGATCATGAGATTCGATGACACTAATCCAGCTAAGGAGAATGCTGAATTTGAGAAGGTGCGTTAACACATGCACTCTATTTCTATGCAGTATCGTAAGGTGAAGCCTTTGAGCCAGACCGGTTCGTAGCTGCTGAAGCTTATCCCGCATGAAGCGGCTAGGAGTAATTCTTCTCCCCCTGGACGGGATGCTAATCAATCGCAAGTCACTCCCCCGCAATTTGATAGGTTTCCCCAACAATTCGTCGGTACCCATTTATACTCCTGGGTGGAGAGAGGCACTGTGAGAATTAAGTGTCTTGCCCAAGAACACAACACAGTGTCCCTTGCCAGGGCTCGAACCCGGACCGCTCGATCCAGGGACGAGCGCACTAACCATTGCACAAAAGAAAGCAGCTTGTTGTTAATTTAAGTAGGATTTTTTCCTTCATATTTAGGCGGAAAATTGAGTTTAAACGTAAATAAACACTTAACTTGCGTGCGCGTTTACTGAGAATTGATCCAAGATAATTGAATATAGGGCGTATGTTACTTCTTTTTTTTTTTTTGATAAGGTCATCCTTGAGGATCTCAAAATGCTTAAAGTCGAACCAGACCAGTTCACACACACCTCAGACCACTTTGACACGATCATGATGTATGCCGAGAAAATGATCCGCGAAGGGAAAGCTTATGCGGACGACACTCCAGGAGACAAGATGAAAGAGGAGAGGGAACAACGCATCAAATCTGCTAACCGAGACAACTGTGAGTTTGCTACATATACAAATGTATCATTTTCAGCTATGTGTTTCGTTGGAAAAGAAGTATGTTTTAATCATCTACACCACATGCCAAAAAATTCGGACGATTTTACTTTCGGATAAAAACGTGTCGGATGATAAAACCGTCCGAAATTTTTAAGCGTCCGAAATATTTACAGTGCAGTATAAAACTTTTTAATACCTCCAAAACCCGCTAGTTTCCTATATGGAGCGAATTCTAGTTGATACACTACTTGAGGTACGTAACGGCCTGGTAGTATTTTTCTTATTTTCTCGTACAAGCAGAATTCGATTCGGACAAAGTCTTTTCCGCTACAGAGAGTTGTCTCTCTGTTGTGTCAAAATGGTTAACAACTTGCAAAGGTTAGATTGGGTGCATACAGTCACTTGTAATAACTCAGTCACTACGTCAGAAAACGAGGGAATACATTCATTAGAACTAAAAACTCACAAACCATTTTACAGGTTAAAGCACAAGAAAGTTTCTCGGCCCAAATTCACCGAGGCAAAATTTGGTTACCTTAAACTTCTAAGTTTGCCTTGTGACAACGAGCCTCTTTGATTTTGGTGCACAACTTGAACACAGTTGTTTGACGCTAGGAATTTTTCTCAAACCTGTCAGAGTAGACTATTCCTTCGCGCTAACTTGAAAAAAATTGAAATCACTGGGAAGATGATATTTAAACAGCAACCGTGAACGCCTGTGAATTCCTTTCTTGTTGTTGGTTGTTAATACTTTGATGGCCAACCTTCCAGTCATCATTCTGTTTGACTTACATGTAAATGTAACGTTGTGTCAAAGATTTTTAATGTACTTACATTAAACCCCCGTCGTTCGTTCTTTCACAATACTGCAAACGTCCATTTTGTTTCCTCAGCTGTTGAGAAAAACCTCGAAGTCTGGGAAGAGATGAAGAACGGAACTGAGTATGGTCAAAGATTTGCTCTCAGAGCCAAGCTTGACTACCAGTCGGAGAATGGCTGCTTAAGAGATCCGACAATTTACCGGTGTAAACCTGAGGAACATGTGCGAACTGGATTGAAATACAAGTATGTCCGCCATGTTTGCTTTCTCTTTCATCTGCACCTAATATTTTACGAAACAGCCAGTGCGCGTAGATCTTGTTTTTTGTCTAGTGTACTGTGTTTAACCAATCGACTCCCGGATTTTTTTTTTGGTAAAAACGCATTTTTTAGACCTATTTGACATTTTCAGCACGGATATATGAGCTAAATTAGCTCCAATCTGCTTCAAAAGACATTTGCAACATTACCGCATGCCTTTCTTTTCACTAGCATCGCGTTTTATGAGATTTTTGCTCTGGCATGTGCACAAATCAAAATTTTGGATGAGAGAGTAACCTACGTCGACTCGTTGGGCTTTTTTTATTATTTTTTTTTTCTGCTTTTCCTTTTTCCTACTTTTCTTATCTCTTTGCTGCAGTGATTGAGCTTCTACTGGCTTCCAGTTCAACTTTCCCGCGAAAGCATCATCGAGACGTGAAATTCTTACTACGGAGTTGCCAAGTGTAGTTGAGGGAAATTTCGCTCCGAGTTTTTCACTCAAATTTCTAAGCATTTCCGTGCATATTTCACGCTTAATTGACCCAGTCACTCTAATCTGTATGTCATTGGAAAGATCTTATCATATATATCATTAAAAATAGATTTAATGTCATTTGCATTTGAAAAGACTCCCCGCATTAGCCTCGATTGTAAGCTAGTTCCAGTCCAATACCGAGAATACGAATATGGTCTCTTCTCAGGGAGGGGTAAGTTGTTGTAGCCTATAAAACTAGTAACAGGCCCTTGCTCCAAGACTGGTGAACTAATGACCTTATTATTTTATCAACAGGGTATACCCCACGTATGATTTTGCCTGTCCTATTGTGGATAGCATCGAGGGGGTCACACACGCTCTGAGGACCACAGAGTACCATGACCGGGATCCGCAGTATTACTGGTTTATTGAACAATTAGGTAAAACTTACCTTCCCTGGATCTGTATCAATTTTAAAGGAGCTACGTCATAGTTTGCGCATCTCGACAGGTTTAGTCTAAATTTTTCAAATTCGTCGTTTGTAATCCGTGGTAATCTTCTCCATCCTTAGCCATCCTTGTTCCATTATAGTTTATCATTAGCTCTTTGGTGTTTTTCTTTCTTAGGAAACTAATTACTTCAGATTTCCTTCAATTTAAAGGTAATTCTGTACGCAGCCAAAATAACTCAAAGAAGGGCAATTTTTATTCGTATGCCCGGGAAGTTAAAATCGTACTGCTAAGCTCTACGTGATAAATCTATTTGCGTTCTATCACGAATGCTGTTCTTTGATTGGCCACGACACTCACTATCTATTCTGTTGTAGATAGTGAGTAGCCTAGCAGTGTGCGCTTGTTAACAAAATGGCGGCCGCTTCTTTGCGTTTTCGAAGTGTGTGAACCTGTCTTGTTGTTTATACTAAAACAATTAGTTTATTCGGTCTCGATTTCTATGCGTGATAGTTGACTCAGGCTGTACCTTCGTTAAGTATCACGCGGTAGATATCTCAGCTCATCTAATTGTTAAATATACTCATAGGTATCAGAAAGCCACATATCTATGAATTCAGCCGACTCACTCTGCAGAACACAGTGATGTCAAAGAGGAAGCTGACTCATCTTGTTGATCAAGGCTACGTTGAAGGATGGTGAGTCTAACGCAAAGCAAAAATAAAAAAACAAAAACAGACAAACAAACAAACAAAACAAACCTAAAAAGGCAGTATAGCGTTGTAAATAGACTGCAATGTTGTGCACTGAAAGGTCTTGTCCTGTTTCCAAAGGCCATTCCCCACAGTTGCCTCTGGCGGCAATAAAATGTACTTTTGTGAGATCGTAGATTTGGAAGTTTCTTTTTAATGGTTTAATCATCTTTAGGGACGATCCAAGATTTCCAACTGTTCGCGGAGTGCTCAGGCGAGGAATGACAGTGGAGGGATTAAGAGAATTTATCGTATTACAGGTACATTTTGAGTACAGTTCTTAAACACTCAAAGGAGCTAGGTCACGACTTCGCATGTTGAAAAGTTTTTTTCAAGCTCGTCGTTTGTAATCCGTGTTAATCTTCTCCATCTTTGACCATCTTTGTTCCTTTATGGTTATTATTACCTCTGTGGTGTTTTTCTATCTAAGTTAACTACCATTTTCTGGTTTCCTTCACCGTAAAGGTAATTTTGTAAATGGCCAAAATAGCCCAAAATGCCGTGACCTAGCTCCTTCAAGAGAGGGAAATACAGCGGTTTTCGAGAAAGGTTGTCCAACCAAGGTGCAGAATCATACACGTTATACCGAAAGGTATTTTGGGTACTCGCATTTTCCCATTGCTTTATCAAAGTTCACGGCGTTTAAACCCAAATGAACGAGAAAAGGTAATAAATAAAGTTACGCATGTTTTTTTTTTCTTCTGTCGGCGGTGAAACACGTCCCACGAACTTCAATCATTCAGTAATTTTATGCTAAACAACTACCGATAACACTTCTCGGCTTTTTCGCGGACGGTTTTACTCTTTCGTAGGGCAGCGTTTCTCGAAATAGCTGTATGCTGATGTGGCGTAGTCGCTTTGTGTTATAGACAACGGGACTTGCGATTAATGAGCTTTACCAGGCTGTGGTCTAAGAAAAATTTCGAGGAGCCCAAAGGTTCCTAACCATAAAATCCTGGGTGCCCGGCACTTGAGCGTATATGCCGGAAAAAAGTGCGTTTTTCCAGCCGTCCAAAGGTAAAAGTAAGTTACCTGTGGCACCTGGGCGTTTCTAGAGCATAACCCTGACTGCGTTCTGGCAGCTCCAGTTGCTGGGATTAGAGCAGACTTGAACTTTTTAATACGAATTTTGCAATTCGGGTCCTCTCCAGTCAGTTCCAATGACGTGCATTTCGTTGCATAAAAAAATGCACTAAAAACTGATTTTGAATTTTTGTCGTTATTTTAGGGTTCATCAAAAGCAAATGTTCACATGGAATGGGATAAAATCTGGGCTCTCAACAAAAAGGTTTGAGAAGTATTCACTTTATAATATCACAACAGTGTAGGAAAACATTAGTACAAACTAAAAGCACTGAATATGTTTTGCTACACCCCCAGCCAAGTTGTCGTGTTTCTGTAAACCTCCTTGTTTCTATAGGTCATTGATCCCATCGCTCCAAGATACACAGCTCTTCTGAAGAACGAGGTTGTACCCGTCTTTATTCCTGAGGCAGAAGAAGAAATGAAAGAGTGTCCGTTACATCCCAAGGTTTGTTCGCACTTGCTACTACCTATCGCTGAAATGTCGAACGACGCGTTTACACGAGGAATTTTGTGTCAACGTGTGAGACTTTTGTTGCGCTTAATCGCGCGTCTGAACTAGCCCCGATTTTTGCCGTGATTTCTGTGCGATTTCGACGCGATTTCATTGCGATTTAGCTCGATTGCACTGCAATTTTAGCACGATCGATTACACTGCGATTTTACTGTGATCTCGCTGAGTGATGTTAAGATTTTCAGCACGTTTTCATTGCGTTTTTGAGTGCAATTTCATTGCTTTCTCCGTGCGATTTCAGTGCTATTTAAGTACAATTTCAACGCGATGTCCGTCAGCGTAATTTCCCGCCTTATACAGTACAATGGCTCTTCATGTGCCCTACACATGAAACTACGTTTTCTCCATCTTCCTCTGCAAAACAATAACCAGAAATGACCAAATCCTGCGTTCTTTGGAGAACGTGAATATCATCGGTGAATTATTTCAAGTTCCTCTCTGAGCTGACAAGTAAATTCCTTTATTTATATTAATTTTGTTTAGGGTAATAAACGGTTTTGATTTGGACTACCTTTACTCTCTCTCTTCGAGTACCACCCCCCTAGTCCGTGCCTGACAGTTTGCGTATCTGTCCATTCAACAGAATCCCAGTGTAGGTAACAAGGAAGTATGGTATGGCCCTAAAGTGTTCATTGAAGGAGAGGATGCTGTCACGCTATCCGAGGGTGAGATGGTCACGCTCATGAACTGGGGTAACGTCAAGATCACAAAGATCAACAAGTAAGTAGCGTCACGGACCACGCATCTTGAATGAAACATCATGTAGCTAAAAGTTTTCTTAATCCTTCTCAATCTTTCCGAATCTTAACCATGTTTGTTCTTGTTTGTTATTTTGAGTTTTCGTTTTGAGGGCATTTTTTTCACAGCGTAAAGAATGGTTATATTGTTGTTTTGCTTTTTGCAGGACCCCTTCAGGAGGTATCACATCAATGGAAGCACAGCTACATCTCGACAACAAGGTAGAACACAAGTTTAGCAGTTTTAGTTTGGCCCTTCAATACAATATTTTTGTCTGTTGAATCGGTTACAATTTAGCTGTCATTGGAACTTTGGGAATACAGTCAGCTCTCATCGGCGACTGTCGGCCAATCTGACTGGCTAGACTCAATACGACCAAGTACTTTATTGAGGTAAAAGTAAAGTTTGCATACAAGCAAAGTGTCCCATCAGGGCGGTGCTTATCTCCGGTTTCTGTAGCATGAAGCGACTAAGAGTATTTCTACTCCCCCTTGGATGGGATGCTAGTCAATCGCAGAATTCGCCGGCAACCATTTATACACCTGGGTGGAGAGAGGTACTGTAAGAGTTAAGTCTTGCCCAAGAACACAACACAATGTCCTCGGCCAGGGCTCGAGTTAACTCGTACATCTCGATCAAGAAGCGAGCCTACTGACCATGAGGCGACCTCCTTCCTCTTTAAGGACCTTCTTCATTATTACATGTAATCCTCACCTTTTTGAAGATACAAGTGTCATCTTAATTTTTCCCTCGCAGGATTTCAAGAAGACCACCAAGTTAACATGGATAGCAGAGTCCGCCAAAGCACCGCTGCTCCCGACAATCGCGGTCCAATTTGATGACGTCATTTCTAAGCCAGTGCTCACGAAGAACGATGACTTCAAAGACTACATTAACAAGGATTCTAAGGTGAGACCTGAAGCTCATGGTAGAGTAATATAACGGTAGAATTTGACACTTTAGTCCAAACTTCAAATCCACTCAGCTGAAGCAATACTCCCCGCACAATGGTTGGTGTCACAAGCCAAGTCTATCGGAGTTGAACTCTTTATTTATGTAATCACTGGAAACTTTCCCAGGAACTTTCCGTGCCATTTGTCCCCGTATTAAAATTTTCGCATTTTTTTTTTGGTGAATGGAAAGCGCCTTACCTCTTTTGTTCCGAGAAATTTGCACGGCAGTTGGCCACGTGAGTTAAAACTCTATATAATCTCACCTTTTTCTTGCGGTTCGTAGCATGAAACAGAAATGTTGGGGGATCCTGCCTTGGCCTCAATTCAGAAAGGAGACATAATTCAACTCCAGCGTCGAGGATACTTTATTTGTGACCAACCCTACGAGCCACCAAGGTTTGTGATCGAAATTGAATTTCTCCATACAGGATCAATATAGGGTCAAGCTTACAGGTGATGAGAACAACGTAAATGATCCACCAGCGGGCAGTGGGTGTAATTGTTAGTGATCGCCTTTTTTTGTGAGAAGAAAGTAAATTATTGTAAATGCTGATGCTTTTCTACTCATTTTTAGCCGGTACACAGGCCGAGAGAGTCCATGTATCCTTTTCTCTGTTCCTGATGGCCACACGAAGCCCTCACCGACCGGAGGAGCCAAGACTAAGGTGAGCATGTCGCTATTAGAGTACTGCATTATTTCACTTTCATTCAGGTCCACGGATCCATCGACTGAACAACTACTGACAAGAGAAAATGATGGTCTCTTGCTACTGAGTAGTGGACGATTTTTGGTGAGCTAGGCCATTTACTTGGTTCATATGTGACACACGTCCTGATTACTGCTAGGATCAGCAATGTCGAAAGCATCGCGTGTGTCATAAATGATAACAGATGATTAACTGTCAGCTCAGTAAATAAACGATAAAGATGAAATGTTAATTTGTCTAGAACGCTGGACATTGAAAATATAAGTCCCCCGACGTGATTCAAACAAATGAGAAGAAAATGCTCATTCATTTAATGATATATGACCCAGTTCTACATTTGGCTCCAAGGTTAACCACACGCACCACAAGCTTGTCAAATTTGGACCATCTTCGACCATATGTTGTCACTTCTTCGCCTTCTTTGTTGTGTGACATGTCCCTCTAAAAGTCGAAAATGTTGCAAAAATAATGCTGAGCAAATTGGGTTTTTCTATCGGTCTTTCCTAGGCCTAACTATTCGCCAAAAAATCCATCCGGATTATCTCCAGAAAAGTTCAAAAAATCTCAGAAATGATTCTGAAACTCTCATTTTCTTTTTTTTTTTTTGGTAAAAATCTCAAAATTTTTAACGAAAAATATCAAGAATTTTCCGTCAAATCTCGAGAATGCGTCTGAAAATCTCATCAAGGGTCAAAATAAACTAAAGGTTAAACAAAGCCAATGATATGTTTTCATTTTAACTTATTAGGACGTGATGAATTCCCCTTAATCAGCGGACATGATAGGAGATACCACCGTACTCTTTTAAAGCTTGCCAAAATGCTTCTACAGCCTTTTTTGGCTCTAAAAACTCTAAAAATCCTTGAACTTGCTAAATTTCTCTGAAAACTTCCAGACTTTCTAAAAATCTTTTCAGCGTCTAAAAATCTACAAAAGAAGCTCGGATTTTTGTAGCGAAGCCTAGTCTTTCCTATAAAACGGCTCTTGAGTTTTTCTCATTTTATTCCCCCTTAGTTCTTTTTCTTTCTCTGTGCTTCTTTTTAGAGAGCCTTTTTACGGCGTAGGGCTAGTTTGGGGAGATGAAGAAATGTCGCTTCTTTCAAAACCTCGCGTCGCTGATTCTGATATTGGAGGAAGTTCAAGCGTGACATGTTAGAAATAAAATTGCTGAAAAGTCGTCGAACCTTTCTTTACAGTCATTTCATTTCCGTAATACGGGCACCTCTGTGAATAAACGAAGATATTTCCGTATCATGAGGCGGAATAAACTTGAATCTAAATGCAAGCGTTTCGTTCGACGGTTCCCCTGAAACTTATTTTGGCGGAAAGTAAAACTTCCGGTGGACTTTCAATCAGGCGTTCCAAAGACTTCCGGTTCTGCCGTCTGGCCCAAAAGGACTGGAATCTACTTTTTGTTTGGTGTATCCACGTGGAAGTTTTCACGCGGGTTTGCCGACTCAAAAGGTATTTCCTGTGTTATTTAGTTAATTTTCTCTTGCTAAAGCAGCATTTTGAACAGTATTGTACGTTATCCAGAGTTCAGGAATGCTTAAATGCCCGCCTGATGTTGAAATAACCGTTCTGTTGCGATACGGACTCGCTTTGACAAAATTCTCGGCGCTACAGAACGGTGATCATTGTTTCCATCGCGTGATTCGGAAATAAGTACTTTGTCTCCAGAGAACGCGAACATTTGCAGAACGTCGTTTTGTTCTCGTTACCATGTAAACTAACGAGTGTTTCATCGATTGTTTAAAAAATATGATTTACAAATATTGTTATGTTTAGTTTTGTTGTTATCGTGTGCTGATAATTCGTAATTTTAACCAAATTGTCCATGTTTCACCTCCGTCAATTCCACTTTGATTTTATGGCTGGAATTTTGAAGAATAATTTGTTTCCCCTCCCAGATTATAGGATTATTGGCCGTCAGTCGTTTAATGAATTCTGTGAGCACGTTAAATTTTGATTTAAAATTTTATTGTCGGACACTGATACAGCTCGACAATTTTTAATTACCGGCTTTACATTTACACAAACTTTTTTGTGGCAGACTTCGTCAGTCCGAAAGTGACATGTCAAGAGATTCGAGTTTGAATAATTATAAGTAAGTAGTAAATGCTAATTAGTATGTGTGCAAACAACAGAAGCAAGCACGAGAATTACAAAGATTAATGGAGGGGTTTTCCCAGAGGATATGCAAAAGCTTTTATCTTGAGCTGGAAGTTCCGGCTTGATGTACATGTATATGCAAACATTAACTGTTAGGACGTAAGGAACAGCAATGCTCAGAATTCTGTAGATGTTTGTAGATGTCAAGTCTCAAGGACACAATATGGTATTGTCACTAACAATTTATCAATATTCTTTCACCCCTTCCACTCCCAGTTACGTGACATTGGATATGCTACAATCATAGACTACAATCAACTCTTCGAATCGATTTTATTATGCTAAAATAATTAAGCTAATATAAAGCTGTCGGCTTCTCGATTGCAACATGGAATAGAATCGTAAAACTTTAAACCCGACACTAACAACATTTTCCCATCAATTTTAATTCATTTATTCTTCATTTACTTCCCAAATGTTATCTCCTTTTTTTTTTTATTCCTTTGCACGGTGTTATTTTAAATGATTGCCATAAAACAGGTTGATCAATCTGCGATACAGTACACATCCCTACCATCAAGGCATGACAATCACTGAACAAAATTGTGTTATTCTGTGATTAAATTTTGATACAAAGGCTCTAAGGTCAATGGATATTTAAGTTGCTCATCCATTATTTTTGTTTTATTATTGTTTGTATATTTGCATATTTGTTTGAATTTTTTTTTCTTTGTCAGTTATTCAGAAATCACTTTATTGTCATAGACTAGTTAGTGGCTACTGTAGACTTCAAATCCATCCAATGAGAAAATATCCGCCATAGACAGCCTCTCCAAATTGTTGGTGTTTGCAGACCAAATAGACACAAACTCAACTGTACATGACATTATTTCAACCACTTAAGATCAATCATTGTTTTCAAAGTTCTAAGCATAATTTTGTCCCATGTCATGTCTGGTACACAGGAAGCAGGAGGCCACAAAAAAGGTGAAAAGAAAAGCGAGAATAAAAAGAAAGATAAAGGATCAAAAACCAGCGCACCAGTCATGAATGGAACAGATGTTGCCAAACCTGTTGTATCACCTGAACAAGTTGAAAAACTTAAAGGAGAAATCACTGTCCAAGGGGATAAAGTTCGTACCCTCAAAACAAGTGGGGCAGCAAAGGTACGGAGCTTTTTTCAATATACATGTAAATGCGGGGATATACACATTGTCGTGATATATCTATGCAGTGAATAACTATATCATGTTCAGTTATTAGGAAAACACAAAGCAGTGAGCTGAATTTAGCAGGTTCAAACCTCTCATGAGTGGACTTGCTTAGGGATGTGAAACTTCTTGAATTAGAGAGACGTTCTTGCTTATAGGTGGTTAAAAACTGGAGTTTGTGGATGGTTTTAAGACTAAATGACTTTCTATGGGCACTATTGGTGTGCAGATGTGTCTATTAACAGAGGTTCAACTGTGGAATTGAATTCAAACCAAAGTCAAGAACTAGTTTTAGTTGCTCTGGTCAGACTCAACAAGGTTCTAAGAACCCTTGGGAATTTCTAACAGAATGTTCATAACTAGAAATAAATTATTATATATACATGTATAGCAATTTCCTGACCTGTAATTAAAAATAGAAAGGTAACAAGAATTGCTAATGATACACTTTTCTGAAATCATGGCTTAATTATTTTCTTTAGGAGGAAGTTGACGCAGCAGTTGCAGAGCTTTTGAGACTAAAAGCAGACTACAAGAACTTGACAGGAGAAGATCTTGCTGGAGCTGGGAAAGGAAAGAAAGACAAAAAGAAAGAAGCTGGAAAAGAAAATGACAAGAAAAATGCTAAACCTTCGAAGAAGGAGGAGAAAAAAGTGGAGCTGACAAATGTTGAGGATGGTGATACAGAAAGTGGGGCTAAGAAAGTGTAAGTACATGTAACTGTATTTAGTAAGTTGCCACAGGTATGGGTGAAAGAATAGATTCCAAGTCCTTGATGGCAGTTGAACCTTTACATGTAGATTCTTTACATGTAGATTCTTTGAAAGAAAACAGACTAACTGTATTTCTATCAAGTTCAACATGTAATATAAATCTACTAGCATTCTATCAAAAAGCTCGTTTGCTGATTGGCTTACAAAACCTTTTTGATTTGCCGATTTACAGGACCTTGTTGGGTATGCAGGCTAGAAAAGAGGAAAATCTAAGTGACTGGTTTTCACAGGTAGGGTTATGTCTTTATTGTCAGTAGGCCTCCAATAATTATATCTTGCATCTAGAGCACTAAGTAAAAGTTTACATGTATACATGTATGTTATTCTAATCTTCAGTACTTTTCATGTGAACATACATGTATATGTAAGTTTCAAAATATTTAATATTCTCCTAACCCATCACCATAGATTTCTTGTAATATTTATTCTCACGACTGAGAATTAAGTGTTTCATCAGTCCCAGTTGGTGATTTCCTTTATTATCATCACCTGTGTGACAGTGCAATGAGGAAGGAGATACCACTCAGGCATTGTTAATTTGGTAGTGAAAAATAAAATTATTAATTTTGATACGTCATCTGATGACTTATAACTATTTCCAGATCATTACAAAGTCGGAGATGATCGAATACTATGACGTTAGCGGATGCTATATTCTAAGGCCTTGGTCATATGCCATATGGGAGCGTATAAAAGGTACACATTTAAAAAGAATGAATGGTTACACAATTTTTAGTACTATCAACAATGCTCTCAAGAAAAATCCTATGTCTTGTGAGGGTCTGCATGAGTGATGTGCCAAAATTTTAGTAGAGCTCTACATATTTTTTGCTTACACTTGTACCCAGGTTGGACTTGGGGTATATGGCACTCGCAAATAACATTTTCAACCAAAGCACATTTTTGGTCCAGAATTTTAAGTGTCTATCTTGACAGGCATGTATTTATAATTTATGCTAGTTTTAATTATTTTTGCTGATGAACAGATTTTGCTCAAAGTTAAATCATGAAACTCCGAGATGATGGCCGCTCAGTAACCCCCTCAGTCAAACCATGAGTTTTTGTCAGGCTGGTCGTATTCAAAATTGACATTATCATTGGCAGTGGAAACGACCTTAAATTTTAAATAAAACAAATTGTGAATTTATTGATATTTTGTGATGTGTGCAAAACTGTGATCAGAAGTAGTTAGAGGTTGCAGTAATATACAGTAATTATGAAAATTTAAAGACTGTTAACAGTCACTGTGGTAGATTTGATACATTCTTATAAAAAATTTTTATTGCCTTTTTTCCTTGCAGATTTCTTTGATGGGGAAATAAAAAAGCTTGGAGTAGAGAATGTTTATTTTCCAATGTTTGTGTCTCAGGCTGCGCTGGAGAAGGAAAAGACCCATATAGCAGACTTTGCACCAGAGGTACATATAACAAAAACCATTTAAGTACAACAATAGTAATCATTAACTTACAGTACAATCTTAAATATTCCTTCTAAGTATCAAGTCTACAAGGTTTGAAGTAATCTAAAATAGTCATTACCCTTCCCATCACTTGTTGGGATGCAAATTATGTGGCCTCATGGTTAGTGCGCTCATCTCTGGATTGAGCATTCCAGGTTCGAGCCCTGGCCAGGGACATTGTGTTGTGTTCTTGGGCAAGACACTTTACTCTCACAGTGCCTGACCCAGGCAAACTGAATGCTGGGGGCAATCCTGTGATGAACTAGTATCCCATCCAGGGGGGAGTAGAAATAGAAGTTGCTTCGTGCTACTCAAACCGGGATAAGTGCCAGCCTGATGGGCCACTTGGCTCATATGCAGACGTTACCTGACCTTACCTTCCCATTACTTGGACTACGACTTAAATTATTCTTTGCTCTCATAACATTCCTGAACTGTTACAGTGGGGAATGTTTTAAGGATAATGCATTGGATCACTGCTATAGACATGGATGTTTTCTTCTACTCAAGTTGTCAGAATGCAATTTGTTGACTGTTGTTGTTTACATGTAGGTTGCCTGGGTAACAAAATCGGGCCAGTCTGAATTAGCAGAACCAATAGCGATCAGGCCGACAAGTGAGACAGGTAAGCTGAACTTGCATGTCCACGTACAGATANTCCCCTGAAACTTATTTTGGCGGAAAGTAAAACTTCCGGTGGACTTTCAATCAGGCGTTCCAAAGACTTCCGGTTCTGCCGTCTGGCCCAAAAGGACTGGAATCTACTTTTTGTTTGGTGTATCCACGTGGAAGTTTTCACGCGGGTTTGCCGACTCAAAAGGTATTTCCTGTGTTATTTAGTTAATTTTCTCTTGCTAAAGCAGCATTTTGAACAGTATTGTACGTTATCCAGAGTTCAGGAATGCTTAAATGCCCGCCTGATGTTGAAATAACCGTTCTGTTGCGATACGGACTCGCTTTGACAAAATTCTCGGCGCTACAGAACGGTGATCATTGTTTCCATCGCGTGATTCGGAAATAAGTACTTTGTCTCCAGAGAACGCGAACATTTGCAGAACGTCGTTTTGTTCTCGTTACCATGTAAACTAACGAGTGTTTCATCGATTGTTTAAAAAATATGATTTACAAATATTGTTATGTTTAGTTTTGTTGTTATCGTGTGCTGATAATTCGTAATTTTAACCAAATTGTCCATGTTTCACCTCCGTCAATTCCACTTTGATTTTATGGCTGGAATTTTGAAGAATAATTTGTTTCCCCTCCCAGATTATAGGATTATTGGCCGTCAGTCGTTTAATGAATTCTGTGAGCACGTTAAATTTTGATTTAAAATTTTATTGTCGGACACTGATACAGCTCGACAATTTTTAATTACCGGCTTTACATTTACACAAACTTTTTTGTGGCAGACTTCGTCAGTCCGAAAGTGACATGTCAAGAGATTCGAGTTTGAATAATTATAAGTAAGTAGTAAATGCTAATTAGTATGTGTGCAAACAACAGAAGCAAGCACGAGAATTACAAAGATTAATGGAGGGGTTTTCCCAGAGGATATGCAAAAGCTTTTATCTTGAGCTGGAAGTTCCGGCTTGATGTACATGTATATGCAAACATTAACTGTTAGGACGTAAGGAACAGCAATGCTCAGAATTCTGTAGATGTTTGTAGATGTCAAGTCTCAAGGACACAATATGGTATTGTCACTAACAATTTATCAATATTCTTTCACCCCTTCCACTCCCAGTTACGTGACATTGGATATGCTACAATCATAGACTACAATCAACTCTTCGAATCGATTTTATTATGCTAAAATAATTAAGCTAATATAAAGCTGTCGGCTTCTCGATTGCAACATGGAATAGAATCGTAAAACTTTAAACCCGACACTAACAACATTTTCCCATCAATTTTAATTCATTTATTCTTCATTTACTTCCCAAATGTTATCTCCTTTTTTTTTTTATTCCTTTGCACGGTGTTATTTTAAATGATTGCCATAAAACAGGTTGATCAATCTGCGATACAGTACACATCCCTACCATCAAGGCATGACAATCACTGAACAAAATTGTGTTATTCTGTGATTAAATTTTGATACAAAGGCTCTAAGGTCAATGGATATTTAAGTTGCTCATCCATTATTTTTGTTTTATTATTGTTTGTATATTTGCATATTTGTTTGAATTTTTTTTTCTTTGTCAGTTATTCAGAAATCACTTTATTGTCATAGACTAGTTAGTGGCTACTGTAGACTTCAAATCCATCCAATGAGAAAATATCCGCCATAGACAGCCTCTCCAAATTGTTGGTGTTTGCAGACCAAATAGACACAAACTCAACTGTACATGACATTATTTCAACCACTTAAGATCAATCATTGTTTTCAAAGTTCTAAGCATAATTTTGTCCCATGTCATGTCTGGTACACAGGAAGCAGGAGGCCACAAAAAAGGTGAAAAGAAAAGCGAGAATAAAAAGAAAGATAAAGGATCAAAAACCAGCGCACCAGTCATGAATGGAACAGATGTTGCCAAACCTGTTGTATCACCTGAACAAGTTGAAAAACTTAAAGGAGAAATCACTGTCCAAGGGGATAAAGTTCGTACCCTCAAAACAAGTGGGGCAGCAAAGGTACGGAGCTTTTTTCAATATACATGTAAATGCGGGGATATACACATTGTCGTGATATATCTATGCAGTGAATAACTATATCATGTTCAGTTATTAGGAAAACACAAAGCAGTGAGCTGAATTTAGCAGGTTCAAACCTCTCATGAGTGGACTTGCTTAGGGATGTGAAACTTCTTGAATTAGAGAGACGTTCTTGCTTATAGGTGGTTAAAAACTGGAGTTTGTGGATGGTTTTAAGACTAAATGACTTTCTATGGGCACTATTGGTGTGCAGATGTGTCTATTAACAGAGGTTCAACTGTGGAATTGAATTCAAACCAAAGTCAAGAACTAGTTTTAGTTGCTCTGGTCAGACTCAACAAGGTTCTAAGAACCCTTGGGAATTTCTAACAGAATGTTCATAACTAGAAATAAATTATTATATATACATGTATAGCAATTTCCTGACCTGTAATTAAAAATAGAAAGGTAACAAGAATTGCTAATGATACACTTTTCTGAAATCATGGCTTAATTATTTTCTTTAGGAGGAAGTTGACGCAGCAGTTGCAGAGCTTTTGAGACTAAAAGCAGACTACAAGAACTTGACAGGAGAAGATCTTGCTGGAGCTGGGAAAGGAAAGAAAGACAAAAAGAAAGAAGCTGGAAAAGAAAATGACAAGAAAAATGCTAAACCTTCGAAGAAGGAGGAGAAAAAAGTGGAGCTGACAAATGTTGAGGATGGTGATACAGAAAGTGGGGCTAAGAAAGTGTAAGTACATGTAACTGTATTTAGTAAGTTGCCACAGGTATGGGTGAAAGAATAGATTCCAAGTCCTTGATGGCAGTTGAACCTTTACATGTAGATTCTTTACATGTAGATTCTTTGAAAGAAAACAGACTAACTGTATTTCTATCAAGTTCAACATGTAATATAAATCTACTAGCATTCTATCAAAAAGCTCGTTTGCTGATTGGCTTACAAAACCTTTTTGATTTGCCGATTTACAGGACCTTGTTGGGTATGCAGGCTAGAAAAGAGGAAAATCTAAGTGACTGGTTTTCACAGGTAGGGTTATGTCTTTATTGTCAGTAGGCCTCCAATAATTATATCTTGCATCTAGAGCACTAAGTAAAAGTTTACATGTATACATGTATGTTATTCTAATCTTCAGTACTTTTCATGTGAACATACATGTATATGTAAGTTTCAAAATATTTAATATTCTCCTAACCCATCACCATAGATTTCTTGTAATATTTATTCTCACGACTGAGAATTAAGTGTTTCATCAGTCCCAGTTGGTGATTTCCTTTATTATCATCACCTGTGTGACAGTGCAATGAGGAAGGAGATACCACTCAGGCATTGTTAATTTGGTAGTGAAAAATAAAATTATTAATTTTGATACGTCATCTGATGACTTATAACTATTTCCAGATCATTACAAAGTCGGAGATGATCGAATACTATGACGTTAGCGGATGCTATATTCTAAGGCCTTGGTCATATGCCATATGGGAGCGTATAAAAGGTACACATTTAAAAAGAATGAATGGTTACACAATTTTTAGTACTATCAACAATGCTCTCAAGAAAAATCCTATGTCTTGTGAGGGTCTGCATGAGTGATGTGCCAAAATTTTAGTAGAGCTCTACATATTTTTTGCTTACACTTGTACCCAGGTTGGACTTGGGGTATATGGCACTCGCAAATAACATTTTCAACCAAAGCACATTTTTGGTCCAGAATTTTAAGTGTCTATCTTGACAGGCATGTATTTATAATTTATGCTAGTTTTAATTATTTTTGCTGATGAACAGATTTTGCTCAAAGTTAAATCATGAAACTCCGAGATGATGGCCGCTCAGTAACCCCCTCAGTCAAACCATGAGTTTTTGTCAGGCTGGTCGTATTCAAAATTGACATTATCATTGGCAGTGGAAACGACCTTAAATTTTAAATAAAACAAATTGTGAATTTATTGATATTTTGTGATGTGTGCAAAACTGTGATCAGAAGTAGTTAGAGGTTGCAGTAATATACAGTAATTATGAAAATTTAAAGACTGTTAACAGTCACTGTGGTAGATTTGATACATTCTTATAAAAAATTTTTATTGCCTTTTTTCCTTGCAGATTTCTTTGATGGGGAAATAAAAAAGCTTGGAGTAGAGAATGTTTATTTTCCAATGTTTGTGTCTCAGGCTGCGCTGGAGAAGGAAAAGACCCATATAGCAGACTTTGCACCAGAGGTACATATAACAAAAACCATTTAAGTACAACAATAGTAATCATTAACTTACAGTACAATCTTAAATATTCCTTCTAAGTATCAAGTCTACAAGGTTTGAAGTAATCTAAAATAGTCATTACCCTTCCCATCACTTGTTGGGATGCAAATTATGTGGCCTCATGGTTAGTGCGCTCATCTCTGGATTGAGCATTCCAGGTTCGAGCCCTGGCCAGGGACATTGTGTTGTGTTCTTGGGCAAGACACTTTACTCTCACAGTGCCTGACCCAGGCAAACTGAATGCTGGGGGCAATCCTGTGATGAACTAGTATCCCATCCAGGGGGGAGTAGAAATAGAAGTTGCTTCGTGCTACTCAAACCGGGATAAGTGCCAGCCTGATGGGCCACTTGGCTCATATGCAGACGTTACCTGACCTTACCTTCCCATTACTTGGACTACGACTTAAATTATTCTTTGCTCTCATAACATTCCTGAACTGTTACAGTGGGGAATGTTTTAAGGATAATGCATTGGATCACTGCTATAGACATGGATGTTTTCTTCTACTCAAGTTGTCAGAATGCAATTTGTTGACTGTTGTTGTTTACATGTAGGTTGCCTGGGTAACAAAATCGGGCCAGTCTGAATTAGCAGAACCAATAGCGATCAGGCCGACAAGTGAGACAGGTAAGCTGAACTTGCATGTCCACGTACAGATAGAAGTAGGACATCATGTTAGACTACTGTAACAGGTAGTGAAATGTTGAATTACAAGTATCGTATAGAACATTATTTTCCTAAATCTTTTCTTGACAGTAAATTGCCAGTCAGTTGGAGACTTTTTGTCTTGCACTCTGTTTATGGCCATCACATTGTGCTGGTTGGCAAGATAAAGCAAATTAAACTAGGGCGATGTATTGGGTATCTACTGTAGCTAAGCTTGCAAATTGGCAACCTGAAAACTGTTAGAGAGGGAGGGGGTGGGGATGGGGGTGGGTGGGGTAGAAAGTGGATTAGCTGTGAGCACCAGCATTATCTATCTGATTGTGGTTGCTAGGAATAAAGCTTACCATATCTTTATTCTCCCTTTATTTGTGTTTTCAATTTGCACAGTTATGTATCCAGCATATGCAAAATGGATCAAGTCACACAGAGATCTTCCCTTAAAACTCAATCAGTGGAATAATGTTGTGGTTTGTAGAAGAACCTGCTTATAACTTCCTGAACTTCTCTTTTTCTTCCAGATGTGTTGTTTGTTTTATGAAAGTTGCAACTTTCATTTTATGTAATTTTTGTTGCTTTTTGTTTTTAGAGATGGGAATTTAAACATCCTCAGCCTTTCCTTAGAACTCGTGAATTCCTCTGGCAGGAAGGTCATTCAGCTTTTGCCACTTATGATGAAGCAGTTGATGAAGTAAGTCTTAAGAGCTTATTTAACACTCAACACTGAATCTTTTTGGGACTGTTTACGAGGAGGGAGGGTTACCCCAACAAGTGGGTTACCCTAGCACTGACACATTTCCTCTTTTTTTCTTCATCGTGCTTACAAGGCAGCTATGGTTACCCAGGTAGGTGGGTTACCCTATCTGCAGACTAGGGTTCCCCTGGCAGGCGGGTTAACTTCTCCCCTTGTAAACACTCTGAGTAGGGTTAACCCGCCTACCTGGGTTAACTTTCTAATTGTTTCCAGCCGCTTTGAGTGTAACCGTGTATTAAGTTGTTCCGGGTTGTAGGGTTACCCTACCTGTGAAATTTTTCTAGTAAACCTGGGCTATCTTTTGCCCCCCAGCTAGGGGTAACCCGCTTGCTAGGGTAACCCTCCCTCCTTGTAAACAGGCCCTTAACCTCCTACTGTACATGTATGCAGCCATTATTTTGATCAGCATGCAAATCTTCTCCCCAGACAGTTGCTCAAATATCCACACAATGCCACACAGGAGACTGATAATTTTAAGGTTGCATTTGCCCAAGCACGGAGTATGATTAGAAAGCTGTGTTTACATGTAACTGTAGAATAATAAGCAATTAGTTTGCTTTTACACTACTATCATGAAAGTAAATATTACTCAAAATACTTAAACATATAATTCATCACACAGTACTTTGAAGATGTTAATTTGCTTTTAATCAAGTGAGAGACATTGAACAATGGCTCATGAAGGCAAAACCAAGATTTTAAATATAAAATACTGTACTACTTTTAATTAGTGATTTGATACATGTGTAATTTTAGTGATTGTTTTTCTTTCTTGTTTTTTATTTTTTTTATTTTTTTCTATTTATTTATTAGTTAAATTTATCCAAACCATGTTATTTTTAAATGATTACATGTATAGAATGATTATTTGTACTTGAAGGCTGTTTTTACTTTGTTGACCTCTTTTTGTACAGGTTTACACCATTTTAGATCTTTATCGTCAAGTTTACACAGATCTTCTGGCCATTCCAGTAATAAAGGGAAAGAAAACCGAGAAGGAAAAATTTGCGGGTGGTGACTTCACCACAACAGTTGAAATATACATTTCAGCCAGTGGACGAGGAATTCAGGTGTGTTCATGTACATGCGTGACCATCCCCTGGGGGTTACCCTATACCTTTTTTCCCTATTTATTGATGTCCCATGACTGTCTCAGATCTGCCTGATAATTAGTTTCCAAGTTCAGAAAGTGAACTATACTTTTCTCAAATGAAATGAAGTGTTTTAGTTCATACAAAGTATTTTGTAAACGGGTTCAGTTTTGAGATTTTACAAGGCTAATCATGAAGAATCTGTGTGTTTATCAATGTGATAGATTTGATAAAAACCAACACTTGAGCAGTTTCATAAATAACGTGATTTGAAGCTGGTGTGGTGATTTTTCATTTTAGGGTGCTACATCTCACCATCTCGGACAGAATTTCTCCAAGATGTTCGAAATTGTGTTTGAGGATCCTGACCCAACGATACAGGTAAGCTGCACCTTAGTTCTACCAGGAGTGCAATGATGTACAGTGGAACCTCGAGTTAACGAACCTCTATATAATGAAGACCTCGACGAAATAGTAAAACATATGGAAAAGAACCCCAGTCCCTTGGCCCTTCGTTTTCCTGAGGTTACACTGTACAGTACTGCTCTGTTTTTGATTTGAATTTCGCTTTGTGTGGTTTTGTTTGAGCTGGGCTTGTGCTTTGTTTGCGTTGAAGAAAACGCACTGGCCTTTTCCTTCGAGTTAAGGGTGCGTTAAAAACGCGCGTACGTGCTTTATTTATTCTTTTGTATTCCATTTGCAGGAGAAAAGATTTGTACATCAGAATTCCTGGGGTCTTACCACACGAACAGTAGGTGTAATGGTGATGGTTCACGGTGATAATAGAGGACTTGTACTGCCTCCTCGAGTGGCTTCTATTCAGGTACTGTAACTGGCCCTGACCAAATCCTATAATGTACATCACAAATAAAACTTCTGCAAAATAATAACAGTTGTTGATTAGTTTTCAACAGCGGTATTTAAGCTGATTACAATTGTAAACAAGGTGATTTGTGGCCCTTTGAATAAAGCATCGAAAACAGGTTCCATTGCATTGAAAAGCCAAGTGCTTTGGTTTGCACTAGCTTTGTTCAAGTTAGTGTTTGTTGTTGCTTGTTGCCAGATTCAACATCGCTTTTAAAAGATCATAAAGTTGCAACTGTAGTTTATATTAATAATCTTAAAGGTGTGAACGAAACAAGGAAGATCTGTTTAACGAATTAATCCGGCAGGCAAGCGAAACGATACCAGCTGTCAGTTTACGTTCAAACTATTGGAAATTTGGAGTATAGCATCAGTAGGGAAGGTCAAAATTAGGACTACAATGTACATCAGTAGACAGTTGAATAGAATATGCTTGCTGGGCCAAGTAAGGTGTTCTTAGCAGGATGGGGTTTAGGCTTCAATTTTTGTCCTTTCACCCCATTCAGCTAAAGGTTAACCTCTAAAGAAAGGTTACATTCCGCCCTTTAAGAACTTTCTTCTGTGCTTTCTACAGGCTGTAATCGTTCCGTGTGGACTAACAGCAACACTGCCAGAAACCGAAAAGAACAGGCTCTTAGACAAATGTAAAGAGTTGGAGGACAGACTCAAAGCTGCTGGAATACGAGCTAAGGGAGACTATAGAGATAACTATTCGCCCGGCTGGAAATTCAACCACTGGGAATTAAAGGTATTCTGTTTCAAGTTCACCCTTTCTTGAAAGGTTCGAGCCCTAGCCGGGGACATTGTGTTGTGTTCTAGGGCAAGACACTTTATACTCTCACAGTCCCTCTCTCTACCCAGATGTATAAATGGGTACCTGCGAATTTAATGCTGGGAGTAACCCTGCAATGGACTAGAATCCCATCCAGGTGGGAGTAGAAATAATCAAAGTCGCTTCATGCTACAGAAACCAGAGATAGGCGCTGGCCTGATAGGCCACTTGGCTCGAAGGCAGACTTTACCTACCTACATGTACCTTTCGAGAAGAAGGATGTCTTTAGTTTCTAACGTTGGCTGTATTTGTTACCATCTCTGTACAGGGCGTGCCTCTTCGTATTGAAGTTGGACCTCGTGACTTGAAAGCGGAACAGGCGGTTGTTGTGCGAAGAGATAATGGAGACAAGGTCAGTGTAAGATGCATTCACGAAAATCTTTGCGAGTTTCGTCCTTTAATTCTTTTTAGCCTGTGACGATAAAGTTTCGTGTTTGTGATCCGTACAAGGCAAAGTACAGTAGAATCTCGACTAGTTTATCGAAGCTTTCGAACCCTCGATTTCTCGAACCCCCGATGACTTGAACCAAAATTCGTTTCCCTATGAGTTTCAAAAAATCGGGATTCTAGTGAAGTCCGTAAACCATGGCCAAACGCGGATAACAGTTGCCGAAAGCTTAAATCTCGTCAGCTACATACATACTTCTGTATCATTCCAGTGGGTTCAAATTTGATAAAACCGGTACCAAACTACATGTAGGTACGTGGTCTCGTATGGTTGCCTCGCAACTTCTTTGATTACTTTACATTAACTTGCTGGAATTTTCTTTCTAAAATTATTTTGATAGTTTGACTCCTTGTGCTTTCTTTCACTGACAGCAAACTATCAAGCAAGCTGGTATAGAGAAGTACATACCGGAAATGTTAGAGCGTGTTCAGGCTGATATGTATGACAGGTATATATAACGTAAGCTCGTAATGTCAGTGATTCATAATGAAATATTTTTCGGGGTCAATCTCGTTTTCTGAGGCTGCGATGCTTTTGGTCATAGCAAAGAGATCATTGCGCGTTCGGCCACTGCTGACCGAAGACGTGCGGGGTCTTGGGACTAGATTGCTTTGCAATGTGTTATCATATTGGTCAATTGGCTTTTGGCGCGGAAAGAAAGAAAGAAAAAAAAAAACAAACAAACTTAAACAAAAGCAAACTTAAATTGTTTATGCGAACCGAAGATCATTAATTTTCGTTTGCTTCGTATTTTAACTGCAGTTTATACTTCTGCCACTACGCATAATCTTAGTTTGCTATTCTTCCTGATTTTATATATTTTCATTTTGTCCCCGTTCATGCGCAGAGCCAAGAAAGATCTTGACGCAAATCTTGCTGTAGCTCACACGTGGTCAGAATTTAACTCAATGCTGGATAAACAGAAGGTTTGTTCTTGATAACACGATGTGGTAGTAAATTTCTCCTTACGATATCGACACATTGCCAAGAAGACAGATGAGAAAAAGGAATCTCATCAAGTAGAGGTTATTGTCTTGATGTGCTACCAAATTCTCAGAACTTTCCGTACGATATATGAATGGCCTCTTGTATCGAGAGTTGATATTTCAAGCTTAAAGGCTGAAACGTTTGTAAGCCTTTGTGCTGGTACGTTTCCTTTTTCATCTTGTAATTTAGTACGTTAGTTAGTTCTCTCTGTTCCAGGAGACGTATAAGGCTCCAACCAGCCCTGTCTTGTGTCACGTGCCTGGCCGGCCCACGCCTCTTCTCTGCACTCCTTTTTCCACTGTCCTTATATCTCAGCATTGTCCACGAAAAATGTTGTTTTTTAACATTATTATTTTTGATAAGTTTCTGGTCATTTCAGATAATCCAAGCACCGTTTTGTGGCGATGGTGATTGTGAGGGCAAGATCAAGAAGGACAGTGCGAGGTATTGCATTAAGTTTTATGTAACGTATTAAACACGAAATCAGTGATCGTGTTTGACCGCATTTCCAAACACCAGGAAGAGAGCTGAAAATACTACACGTAGCGGAGCATTCAGTTTTGACGAAATTCAAGGTGTTCCAGAATGTGGTCAAACACTGTCTTGATATATCTTGTCAATGAAAACTAATATAAGAAAACCAAACTAAGGAGAAAATGTAGTAACAAAGTCGTAGAAATCTATACCAGTTAAGATCAGATGTGGAAACACCGTCACGGTGACTGGAAAATAAGAATTATAAGGAAGTCATAGTACTATTAATTGTGGCGTGTGATATTGGAAGAAAAAAAAGATTTTTGTTATCGAATGCAGTTGAAATTCGAATTATGCCCTCTCTTTGTAAAGAACGACCAGGATTTGTCCGTTTTACCGTGCCTCGATCTGCCTTCTACACTTTCTGTGTCACTGCAAATTTCCTAAAATGATCTTTTCAGTCAGAGCGCCCTGTTAATTGTGCTCCCAATCTGGCCCTTATAGATAGGTTTAACTGGATATTTTCGTGAGCGTTTGGGTTTCTGTTTCCTTTTTCGTTAGGGACCAAGATTTGGAACCTGGAGCGCCATCAATGGGAGCAAAGAGTTTGTGTATTCCGTTTGACCAGCCCATGGAGATCACCGCTGACACGAAGTGCGTGTACCCGGAATGCGGCCAGGCAGCCAAGTTTTTCACGCTGTTTGGCAGAAGTTATTGAATCTATACCAGCTGGACCAGACTGAGTTTCCTCTACAATATTGTGAAATCAAATTCAATCGTTATTTCGATGTCTCTGTCTCTCTCGACGTGAGAGAGAATAAATTATACAACATGGCAAATTGCCAGCTATGTTGGTGAAGTTTCTGCATTCCTTAAAAATACTGCGAAAATCAAAATTAATCTCTAAGGGTTTCAAATAATGCAGCAAATCAAACAGATTTGTAGGCCAAAACAAACGCAAAAAACCGTTGGCGTGTGCGGGAAGACGTAGCTATTGTCAAACGCGGGAAAACATGTAACGGGTGTCAAAGAAAGGAAAACGTGTAACCGCCTTCAAGCGCGGGGAAATGTGCAACCGTTTGAAAACGCGGGAAACGTGGGAGAAGCACGTGACCAATGACAAGTGCGGCGAAACGCAACCGATGATTGTATTTTGATTTCGCATCGCGGCTTTACACGAGGTCTTAAACTGCATTACTTGAAACTCATAGTAAACTAGAACTTAACCCGAGTTTTGCTGTAGAACTGTATTTAGGTATTTTTTTTACTTCCTAAACTTTTTCAGACAATAGCACTACATCAGAATTGACTAAATATTAACGTGTAAGATTACACTGAAGCCAAAGGCCGTAATAAATATTTGACAACACAGCTGTCCTTGTATTGGGTTTTAAGATTGTAGGTTGTTCAGATTTTCTCGGGGACACTGTTACTTTACTTCGTACGATCCCTCAAAGCTAGGGCCGAATAGAACGGTAAATGAAAAGAGCTGTATCACTGAATCAAACTTTGCTTGGAAACAGGAGGCTGTGCCGCTCCACGTCGAACTCAACAGCACACCATTTAATTTTGTGTGACAATTGAGGCTAGATGTGATTTAGATGGTCATTTCTTTCTTTCAAGGAAGTTTGAAGTTCCCCCGCATTCGTTTTCTTTCGTAGAAATGCCATCACCAGAACTTATCCCGTGTTTTCAGTAAGTAACAAGGAGCATTCTTACTTCCCCCAAGATGTGACGCTAGGTGGTGTTATTCGTCGATATTTATTTAAAAACACCTGGGTGAAGATAAGAATGTCTTTGGCAAAGTGCTATAAATATACACTATAATAACGATACATGAAGTATCTAGGGGCCGGCGTTGCTAAGCCGCTGACGCTAAAAAGTGCAAAAATGGCGGTGATTTTGAACGCGGCATACTCAAAGTTTTCGCGTTGCCTTGATGCCATTTCTTGGTGAGTTGTTGTCTTTCTTGTTTTAATCTCTGTGCGTTCATATAACCAGAAAGGGTTTGTAGAATATGTTCACGACGTGGGACAAACTTGTATATTTGGCGGTATTTTCTTTGTATTTTGTCGACCTAGAATATTGATAGATCGAACCTGGCTATATATCGTAGAGCTTGAAATGTAAAGATCGTTGTAATATAAGCTTATCTGTGTGCTGCTAGTGTGAAGGGAATAGTCTACATTGAAAAAGAAAGTAAGCCCTACTAATGATATCGGTATGTTTATCACTTAGAGTTTATTCTTAAAGTCTTAAAACATTGTTCGGAAAAGTGTAAGCAAGGATCACAGCCTGCCAAGCTTGCAGCTGTACAGAGAACATGGCAGAATAGTCCAGTTTCCAATTAACCCCCCCCCCGCCCCTTCTGGGGAGAGACACCCATATTGAAAGGTCGGGGATATCGATGCTCGTCATCTCGCTTGGACGTATTATCCGGTATAAATTGACTTATAAAGAAGGATTCTGGTCTTACTTAGGGTAATCGCAGTGACGAAATTCCACTATTTTTAGCCGTCAAAGTATCTTTAGAGTGCACTCAAATAATTATTAATAAAAGAAACGCTCTTATTTTCGTTCTTAGGCTCGATTTCTGCCAGTCTTTAGACTCCGGTATACTGGTGTAGGCTCCAGTTACCTGAACAGCAGCTGGTATTCGAGCCTACTCCATTTCAAGTGGTAGGAGTCATTAAAGCTTGGGCCTTGACCAGATTGGTCTCCTTTATATTTAGGGGTTTACAATTCAAATTTTTTGACAAGTATCCCTGAGTTCTTCATTTGGGAGTTTCCGCCCTCCCCGGAGAATAAACAGACCAATGAATCTGTACAGTGATGGCCTCAATCTGAAGTCAAATGTTCTCAACAATACTTTACTCAATAATGTTTTGCTTTTCTTTTTCCTGTCACTGCCCCCTCCCCTCTCCTCCCCTCCCCCTGCACTTTTGATAGCTGTGAATTGGCCAGAATAGTCCATTTTGCAGTTATCTTGTGCCTCAGTTCCAAAGCAAATCCTCGTGCAAAGTCTTTCACATAAAAATGAGGGCCCTTACTTGGTGTAGAAGACAAAGCTGACCTAAAACAATAGTTTATAGAGACCAAAAGAATGAGGAAAACAATGAAAACAATAGGTTTGTGGGGTAGTGTTTTTTTTGGGATGTGTACTGTGTCTCCTACACCAAGAAGGAGCCAGAATGAGCTTGATTAGCATGAAAATGAATCTGTAGGTGGATTACATTTTCATATCAATACCTTTGCAAGAGGGTTCTTATTGACACAGTGGCAAGAGGTAACTTGAAATTGGCCTATTCCTGTGTAGCATGATAGTATTTAACGGCAGTGAGTGACAGTGAACGTTTGGTACAAAGTCAGCTTGTCAATATTTGACCTGGCAAGTATCTCAAACATTTTTTTTCCTGGACACTTTTCTCTGAAGTGGACACTTTTCAGTGGTAACATAATGCATCTTATCTCCTACCCTCTGCTTGGGATTTCCTATTTTGATGTTGAACGCAAAAAAAAAAAAAACTGATTAGGGAATGAAAAAAAATGAATATTTGAATGAATATTGCTTGCTATTTTATAACTTCTCCAAAACTCAGACTGGACACAACTGTATGTCCTGTTTTATTTTTGTTATATTTTGTTTCAATAGTATTCAATTTTCGATCTCAAGGTAGATTAGTTGCTGTTGATGTCATTTTATTTTCTTTTGTTCATTTTCTTTTGTTCCAAAAATGAAACAGATAGAAATTATGACTTCAGCCTGACTTAATTGTCATTACAAGGTCCCAAAATCTCGTTAGTTTTCATTTTTCTTCTCGTTTGACTCAAACCCATTAGTAGCTTTGATGAAAGCGTCTGTTTGGCAAATGTTTCGTAAAACTAGCTTCAGGACATTTTTGGCACCATTGCAATATAAGTTGTCTGCAATGTTTCCTATAGGTAACTGCCTGTAGATAACACTTAAAGCACTTTTTGCAACGATACCTCAATCGTTGGCAAAATGCGGAGCAAGAAACGATTCCAAAACGTCGGGAGACATTTCATGATTTGTTACACTGCGTAGACCTTCGTAGCCTGACAAAGTGATTATCCGTAATTAGTAATTCAAAGTTTTTGAGCGATGCAATTCGATTCTGAGCATATCTTACCACAAGTAGATATCGACGCGAGATAATTTAATAGTAAACGATGCCCATTCTTTTCTTTCCTAATTCTCTATCTGAATGGTCCTGAATGAAAGACGACTGCGACGTAAAATTGTCTAAATAGTTCCAATTCTTTGCTTCGTCCAGTAAAATATCTTGTAGACTTACTAGAATTATTGTCTACCCTGTTTTTCCTTTGCATAGAACATCAGAAACTGACAACTCTCTCAGAGATAAAGAGATATAACGATATCTCAGAGATAAAACGAGTAGATAGAAACTATTAAAGTCACGACCTTGTTCCTATGCAGGAAGTAGGGGTCTTTCCAAGAAGGTAAAGATGCAAGCATGTATCTTCTTCAGTGAGTCTCATGTCTCCAACAAGTTGCCCACCTACAGTAATTGTCCTACGAGTGATTCACAGACCAACGATCAACAATTATAATTTGTTCTCAAAACTGTCCAACCTATAAAAGCGGGCGACGTTCATTAAGAACTACTGCGCAAAAGGTGAAGAAAATTGACCAATCTTATTCTAAAAATCAAAATGATACAATCATTATCACAGGTCGTTGTCCTAGACTACGAGTAGTCCCTCTTTTGCTTAGTCCGTCGTGCGTTACGCGAAAGAAAACTGCGAGAAAGTATCGTTTTCCTTGGAATAGTCGTTTTGTGGGTCCATCAAGCCGATTCAGGTAACAAGTCTCGATGAATTTTTACACAACACTCACAGGTAATGTTGTTCCCCTTAGCCAGCGGTCACTAAAAAGAGCTCTTTCTCTTCCTTTCTCGGAATACTAGTCAAAAGGAGTAAGGTTCTCTGAACCAGATTGGTCTGGCCTAAGAAGAACTGAACTTACAGCAGTGTCCCTCTTTTCTCTTCTGTTCTGTTCTGTTCCGTTCCGTTCTGTTCTGTTCTGTTCTGTTCAGTCTCTTGTGTTCTCTTGCCTTCCCTTCCGTTCTCTTCTCTTCTCTTCTCTTCTCTTCTCTTCTCTTCTCTTCTCTTCTCTTCTCTTCTCTTCTCTTCCCTTCCCTTCTCTTCTCTTTTCTCTTTTCTTCTTTTCTCTTCCCTACATTTCTCTTCCTTTTCCTTCCCTTCCTTTCCCATCCCTTTCCTTTCCTTTCCTTTGAATAACCTCTTTGAATTACTTAATACATTTGTGCATTTTTAAATTCATCTGCACAGGTTTATTAAGAGATATCCACTTTCAAGACCAAAGCGTGCAGGATATCGTGCAAATCAGTGCTCCGCAGACTGAACTAGACCACCTAACGGTTTGCATGTGGTTGAAGTTTCCAGACGACGGGCGTTTAATTGGCCTCATTTCTTGCCTACATCAAATTAGCCATGAACTGGAAATTCGTTATCGCAACATTGGCAAAGTTCTCCACTTGCGAGTCGAGAATAGGGAGGGGTAAGTGATAACCTCCTATGTAGACAATCCTTTGTCACGCATTTGTCACGGACAATCTTTGATTTGTCACGCCTTTTTCACGGAAAATCCTTTGAGACTCCTTTGGTTTGTCAGGCACTTGTCTCGGACAATCCTTTGTTTTGTCGCGCATTAATCACGGCAATCCGTAGGTATGTAACGCACTTGTCGCGGACGATCCTTTGTTTTGTCATGCACTTGTCGTAGACAATCCTTTGGTTTGTCAAGCACTTGTCATGGACAATCCTTTGGTTTTTCACGCACTTGTCACGGACAAGCATTTGTTTTGTCACGCAGTTGTCGCGGACAATCCTTTGCTTTGTAACGCACTTTTTGGAGTAATTTCGAAAGAACCAAATCAAATAATAATAACGGTTTTCTGTTGGTATGATTTTTAGAACCGAGTTATTACCGTCTGCCCTTGGGGAAGATAACTGGAGACATCTATGCTTTGCGAGAACAACCAGCAGCAATGATTATTTTGTCTTCGTGAACGGTCGCTTGGATGTCAGAGGAGGGCCACTAAACACGGACGCAAAAATAGGGGGTATTGGAAGAAAGTTCGTTCTGGGGCAGGCTTGGGATAAAGCCAGCCGCTCCTTCCTTCAAGCGCACAGTTACGCAGGATACATGAACGACGTCAATATGTGGAATGAAGTGTTTACTCTAGTTAGAGTTCGGCAACTGTATTTAACCCGTGGCTTTGTGGATGGGAATGCAGTGCCATGGAGTCAGCTGAAGAGCGCGACCCCGCCTAGCCTGGTCTCGGCTTCGGCGTCGAAATGCCCTG